AGTCTCGAAAAGTTACCAACTGCACTTCCCAAGGCAGGTTTAAGTTCACTCAGATCAATGAAGAGTAGGTTTCTCCCAAGCCTGATGCCTGACGAGGTATCAGCAGATTCTGGATGCTCTCAGGAGACAGCATTCGTTTGCGGGATGGGGGGTAGCCCTTTACATAAACACTCTGCACCTTCAAACACTTCCACACATGAAGCATAAAACAGAAGTTAATTCCTCTTTTGCCTCCTTTGTAACATACTGTAAACTCAAATCCTCTTTAACCTAGCAGGCTGATGAGCAAGGACAGTTAGTAGAGGCAAACTAACACAATTCTGCCTCAGATGGAACCAAGAGCTAGTGTTCACTAGTACTTTAAGAAAATGAAATACTCAGTTCCTTCATCTTTTTCCTTCCTTCCCTTTAGCTAAGGCAAAAGAACTGAACCTCCTCCCCTAAAGCCACATTAGAGGTGTGATTATTTATTTATTTTAATAGCAGTGTCGATTTAAGCACCTCTTCATCCTCCCTGCTCCCTATCCCATTCCTTTTGTTTTGCTGTTAAAGTAAATGGGATCCAGGCTTAAAAAAAGAATTTTTTTTCCCCTAAATTCTGGATGACATCTTTCACCTGATCCCACTGACGTAACTGAGGACAGAGGCAAGTGACAGAGGCTGTATCTCCACAGAAACCAAAGGAATAAAAGAAGGGAAGGAAGTATCTCAGTCAGGACTTCCAAATGTCATTTCACACATTCTCCAGCAAAACCTGAGAGGTCATTCATGGCATCTTCAGGGAGAGATGAGGAACATAGTGTTCACTTTTTTCTCACAGCCTCTACGTATGCTCTACACCTAATTATTTCTCAAGTCTTGATCATACTTAAGTATAGTCCCAACCAGGTATGAGCCTTATTTCCAGATATCTCTAAACCAAAAAAATAAAACTGAGGAGAAAAAGCAGATTCACCCAAGTGAGCACACCAGTTCAGCTGAGCATGCCAGTTTTTAAAAAGCATTGAATTCAGACCCTACACTCCTTAATTAAAAGCTTTGCTTTGCCTTGCCAAGGAAGAAATTTGACAGCAATTAACTACCCTGCACCAGAAATAATTCTGCACACAACAGACGTATGAAACAGCAGCAGTGAGCTACTGTAACACTTCTCGAGGAGATATTTCTTCCTGGCAGTCGAGCACAAGGCTGTACTCCCATCCCCAGCAACAGAACAGCCTCTACTTTTTGCTCTCAATTTCCTACCACCTCCACTCCTTCCCACATGTCGTCCGCAGGGCTGTGTTGGTACAGATGTTCCCGCAGCCACGTGGCAAGCCCCGACGCTGCTCTGATCAGCCTGGAAGATAACACAGCAGGGGAGGGAAAAAGTGACTGTGATCTGGTTCAGCACAAGGCCACGCAAACAGCTGTGCTGGCAACAACACAGCGAGCAGGAGCTGTTTATGCACCCCGCCACGCATCGGGTCTCCATCACCTGGAGGGCAGCTTGCTGATACCAGGCTGACGGAGTGCCACACCGTCACAGGAAGGCCACCCTTCCTGGCCCCCACGCTGCCTTGCCCCCATCTGACTCCACAGCGAGTGAGCTGAGGGCACCGAGTTTGCCAAGGTAACTGGGCCAAAAAGGAGCTTTCTGTCTGTTCAGTTTTCTTGATTGACTTGCCGCAGGATCAGACAGGCACCCGTGCCTGTACAGAGCCTCCAGGTCAGGTCAGGCACGAATACGGTACCACCACGTCACACCCACGTGCCTGCCAGATGCCACCTTCCCTCCTTGCACTGGGGCAGCAGCGCAGCCTGCGCTCAGGGACACCTGGGAGGCTCCCTATTTGAGACTGCTGATAGTTTTACGCCTTCTCTCAACTGTTTACAACTGGTTGCTGTCTAGCCTGGCTAACAGAAGAATCTCTGGTTTGGACTCAGGCGCAGCTTTGTAGCTGGCAGACACACCACAGCGTGCCAACTCTCATGTTTTCCAAGCTTATCTTCTCAAGCTAAATAGCAAGGATGAAATAAGGTTATCAAGGTAGAAAATGCATGCACCCCTCTGGCACCGTGAAAACTGAGATGCATCCATAGCACTAATTTCCCAACAGAGCATTACCTGATTTTACATATTTGAGGATTTACCACTAATCCGTTCCTCAAAACTTACACAACACTGAAACAAATCACACAACAACCAGCAGAAGAGTGAACATATAGATGCCATCCCATACGCACACCATACGCTTCAGCTCTCCAGTAACTGGATCTGCACAAAGTAGTTAAATACAGACCACGCTGTCAAGTGGAGCCAGAATTTCACAAAGTACCTTGCACACAAAATGTGCATCGTACACAATCTGAGCTTCCAACTTTGTTTTGTCAAGAGAAAGTACATTTCTAGCCCTCCTGGCTGCAGTGATAGCCTTGGAAACACAAACCTTGATATCTGCTCGAGTCCGTAGACTGTTGGAAACAGTGACTCATGCATGAATTCCCACTACCCATTAATCTCAAAGCGTAAGCACTTATGCAGCAATAATGGTGGTTTAATGTCCTGGCAAAAATGGGAAAAACTGGTTAGCAGAATTTGGGAGTGACTGTCAGGAAATGAAGATAAAGACGATGCTTTGAGGACAGCAAGAACAAGGAAGGGACAGGAAAAATGCAGTCATAAGTTATGAAGCACAGCTCTCCAAGCCAAACGGGAGTTCAGCTACCACCTGTTTCCAAAAGCCACATTTTCCCACTCATCTCCATGCAATACCCCTCAGAACAATGGCAGACCTGTGGCTGACTAAATATAAAACCCTCCTCCTTTTACATACACCCAGCCAGAGACTTCAATAAAACCACCGTGGGCTTCAACCCTACTCTCGCACTTTGGCAAGCCGTTAAAAGTTTAGCTTCAGCATGCATATAACATTGTACCTCCAGACCCTGATTTAACAGGGCACCTCAGCAGAAGCGAACACTAGCTCCTGGCCAGCAGCTACCTCCAGAATATTTTAAGTGGTTAGAGCAGCACACTGAGCTTGTGAAAGACTGAATGCTTCTGTCAAACTGACTACAGCTCTAATGTTCAAAAGAAAACTGCCCAGTTGCCCATTAGGCAATTGACCAAGAATATCTAGTTTTTCCTGAAGAAGGGTACTCTCTGGACAAAAAGGGAAGCATTTTATTTCTACCACCTCCAACTTGATTAAGTTGCTGGTTTGGGGTTTTTTTCAGCAAAAATCCTGTAACTACATGAATGTAGAGATTTTTATCTCATTCAAAAACAATTAAAGAGCAATGCAGAATTCAGGCTTACAGCTAATAACTTTTTGCTCCGTTTCCCAAATATAAAATTCGTAAGACAACTTAACACCCAAACACCAGCTTTCCAACCACTTAAACTAATTAGCAGCACTCAGTTAAAATGTACATTTTAGTTAGACACCTTTTGAAAGTTTTATTCTATTTTTATCTTTCATATCTCATTGAAGAGACAGGACATTTACAAATACCTATTTTTAAATATGGTATAAATCGTCCAAATGAGAACGTTCTCAAGCTCATTGTTTCCAAGATTAAAGCAAAATGAGTTAGAACACGTCATTTGACATTACAGTAACAGTAAGAACCCAACTGTTGCTCAATCTGACGGAAATAGATGTCTTTCAGGAATCTTTGTTTTCAGTATTTTGGAATACTGAATGCAAGCAACTAGTGCAGACATATGCAGAGAGCAGTACAAGGACATGACTATTTTAGCATCCCACTTCTGCTTAACATGGCATTGTTAAGAATTTTAACTTTTTTGCTTAAATTTACATTTTTTAAGAACTGTTCTTCCAGCGCAGAGTTCCTTTGTTCAAGCTTCTGCTGCATAAATACATACATTATGGGTATTACCTCTGCCATTCACATGATTTCCAAGTTAAGTATTTCCCTTCGGTGTGTTAGTATTAACATCTAGATATGTACTATGTGTTGCAGATCCATGACAAATGCAATTTCCATCCACCAAAAACATCAATCTTGCAACAATCTTATTTCCACTGTAGTTCTTAAGGTGTCCATGCCACTCTGCAGAGACAGCTTCACAGTTTATGAAATGCCTAACACATATGGACTTCCCAAATTTAAACCAGGGAAGTCCACCCACACCTGCAGTGCATTTTTGCAGATGCCCCTGTACAACCTCACAAGTAGCTGGAGAATAGTGTAGATAAATCCAAGCACATTTCATCTTAGTCCCTGGAAGTATTCCCTGATAATAAACTTGCATAAGTAAAATTAAGCACAGATTTATCAAAAAGAGGTTTGGCCTTTGAAGAGGAGACAGAGAGAACGGGTTGCACCTTAAAAAAGAAGCGGGAAAGTGGGTAACAGGTAAGTGTAAGCAAACTGCACTTACAGAACAGCTGACAGTAAACTTCACATACAACCAAACATTGCTATCAAAGCTTTAAGTTGAGGGGATCATATTCTGCTGTCTAAAATCACAGTCTTTTCAAAAAGCCAAAGTTGTGGGAGATCCTAAAGACAATATTGTCTTCTGGAGGATGAAGAAAGAAAAGTGATAGAAGTGAAATAAAAATTTGGAAACAATGAGAATACCATTACTGCAGTATGTCGGAATGGTTTTCATGCACAGACTGCAATAATCCTTTACATTAGCTTGCAATGTTTCATACAGGTTCACTGATCCTCACAGTTTAGTAAAAAATGAATTAATTGAGGGATAGTGGTCACCAACAAAACCAGGTGATACCAGGCCCAGCAGCTTGAGGCATATACTAAGACTATGCCTCTCTATACTGATAAAACATTTACACAAGTGAAGCATTCGCCATGTGAAAGGGAGAACTGCTAATTAATGCTTACATCCAGATAAATTGCCGAGGAAGAATCTGACATGTGCAAACAGCCACTTTTGCTTATTTAAGCTGATGAGTCACATGATTAATTGCCATACTTTACATTGTTCAGATAAGGTATAAAGGTACAAACAAGGAAGAACCTACCAGGACTCTCTACCCGCTTGTAGTGGTAGGGATTGATGCAAACCTCCTTCTGTTTTGAACCAAAGGGAAACTCACAGCATTCCAGTGGTTTCAGTTCGTGATGGCTCTGCAGGTCTGGCCAGCGCCACACTCTGCAGTAAATTACATGTGGTAGCCCTTTCCGGTGCGAAACCTGAAGCCTGCCATCCAAGGAACGAGGAATTGTGACACAGTTGCTGGGCTGACCAGGACAGCTTAATGCTTTTTCCAGCTCCTCCATAGCACCTTTTTTCTTCTTCAGTTTTTTCACTAATGCATCAACAGCTTTCTCTGCCCATTTTTCTTCTTCGTCCCCCTGCTTCCATCCCAGCAGCCTCTTCACTGCTGGGCTGGTGAAGGAGAATAAACTTGTCACATTCATGGTGACCCCACTGTTGCGATACCACAGAACCAAGCAGGAGAGACTGTCCTGTTCCTCCACCACCACCAGGGTACAGCAGATTGTGTCAGCAGTCAAAAGCAGCCAGCATCAAATAATTCTGGTCCTTTCTCCTTTTCAGTCCTCCAGTTCCAGGAAGGCAGCGCTGACATCCCCCCTTGACGGACGTGACCTTCTCATTATTCTAAATCCTTCTGCACGAGAACCTGCAGGAGAATATCAGAGGGAGAGGGGAAGGAAAAAAAAAAAAAAAGGATTTTACCTTTTACATTAACATACAGCAGTTAAAAACATCCTCGCCCCCAACCTGCAAAAGTTGTGTGACCAAAAACCAACCAACAACAAAAAAACCCAAAGTGTTGACAGCCTCCAGAACTAGACTCAAAGACACATCTGATGAAGACTTTTAGGCAGCAGGGCCTGCTGCTGAA